GGCATCGGAGTGCGTGAGGGAGATGGTGGGCCGTCGCTGTTCCCCCTCACGCCCGGCTCACTAAGTTAACCAGCGCACTGGCTTTTTTTGCTTACAGACTGTCCCTTCACTGCTCCATTTTGCTACCAGATTAATCTTTTTCTTTCTTTGTTGTTTTTCAAATATTTTTATTAATTTTTAGAGAGAGAGGAAGGGAGAGGGAGAGAGAAACATCGACATGAGAGCAAACCATCCAGCGGCTGCCTCCTGCATGCTCCCAACTGGGGATCGGGCCTGCAACCTGGGCAGGTGCCCTGACCAGGAATCAAACCAGCAACCCCTCAGTGCGCAGGATGATGCCAACCAACTGAGCCACGCCAGCCAGGGCTGGGAGTCATTTTCTTTACCAGGAGGGTTCCTGCTTCTCTCTTTTTCTTTTTCGTCGTTGATGTGTAAGAGAGAAACATCGATTTGTTGTTCCACTTATTGGCGCAGTCATTGGTTGATTCTTGTATGTGCCCTGACTGGGGATCGAACCCCCAACCTTGGCGTATCAGGAGGATGCTCTAACCAGCTGAGCTGCCTGGTCAGGGCCTCGCTTCTCTTTGACTTCCAGATGCCTCTCCGTCCAGATGGCCCAGCACAAATCTCACCACCTCCTGTGACAACTCCCCTTACCAACCAGCCTCTCTTCTTTTCAGAACCATTTTCAACAATTTCTGCAAAATGTTACTGCACATGTACCACATCCTGCTTTGTGCTGCTAATTCTTTCTATAAGTATGTTAATATTTATTTCCCCCTAGTTCAACTGGAAATATCTTAACAGCGAAGCCCATGTCTTACTCACCTGTGTATCATTTGTACTACCTTTTGTGTAGAAAGTACTTAATGAAATAGAACAAAAATACCCTCTTTCAGTTCGACTTTGGAGACATATTCGTGCATCAGGCCATCCACACGATCGAGTACTGCCTGGGCTGCATTTCAAACACAGCCTCTTACCTCCGCCTCTGGGCCCTCAGCCTGGCGCATGCCGGTGAGTGAGCCCCCCATCAGGGTCGTGCTCAGAGCATGCACTTGGGACAGCACCTTCCCGGGGTTATTTCGGGCTCTTTTTTCTTGGGAATAGTCTGCATTTGCCAGCTAAACCCGTGCTGTTGCTCTTGCGTCTTGCAGAACTGTCCGAAGTGCTCTGGACCATGGTGATGAACATCGGCCTGCGCCTGAGCGGCTGGGGAGGGCTCATCGGGGTCTTCATCATTTTTGCCATATTTGCTGTCCTGACAGTAGCCATCCTTCTGATCATGGAGGGGCTTTCCGCTTTCCTGCACGCCCTGCGACTGCACTGGTGAGCGTGGCAGGGCGGCGGGCCTTCCACGGGCTCCAGGGTGGGAGGTTGGGCTGTTGGGCCGGCCAACTGGATTCAAACCCTCACCTTGTTGTGTGACATGAGTGACTAACATACCTTTCTGGAGCCTTTGTGTAGATACCTGTTGGTGTCATGTTCATTGACATCCTGTGTGTGTGCATATATAATGGCTGCCCTGTGACAAATGTTAGTTCTTATTGATCCCTCTTTTAAATTTCCATTCGTTATATTACAATTGGCTTTAAAATAAGGGACACCTGCAAGTGTTGGTAAGATGGCAGATCTGAAATAGGCTCACGGAAGGCCTGCTAAGGGAGTCTGGGACCTTTGGCCCTTGGTGCTGGGTGCAGGAGTTACACCATAGTACAGGCTTCCAGACTCTCCAGAAAGTGGAAACAGAAGGAGGGTCCCGCAAGGGAAGAGGCACACGCAGGAGGCCCGTGACATTCACAGATGTGTCCGGGACAAAGCCCACCTTCAGCTTTCACCTCCCTCTGTTCCTGCTCTTCGTAAGAAAAGATTTTACACTTCACGTATTGAGTTGAGAGCCGCAGCGCCCGCTGCCTCAGGTGACAGCATCATTTCTGTCCCTGTCATCAGGAAGGGATCTCTGCCAACGCCATAAACAGAAATGATCATACGCGATATCTGTTCTATACGTTATAAAAATATAAGCCAAGATTCTGGTTGTTCGGTGATAGTGTCAGCCCTGAAATTTGGGATCAGGATGAAAACGAAAGAGCATGTCTAACGTGCCCAGCACTCCCCTCGCTGGCACATCGGACAGGGTGCAGAGTGAGGGCCTCTTTGCTGGTGGGCGCCGGGGCAGGGTGGTTGTGCTGGTCTGTGAGGCCCTAGCGGAGGCCTGGAGGACTGGGGGAGAGGAAGGGTCGGTATGAAGAGAGAAGGGTTATGAAAATGCTCAGAGGACCCCTGGGGCAGCACCAGGGAGGGTTCCTCCCCCCACGCCTCCTGACCCTGCGCTGGGTTTGACACGTGCTTCCTCGCTCCAGCTGCCAGCCTCCAGCTGCCAGCCTCCAGCTATGTGTTTGATGCCCCTTTTCTCACCCCAACAATAGGGTGGAGTTCCAGAACAAGTTCTACGTCGGGGCTGGGTACAAGTTCTCTCCATTTTCCTTTAAACACATCCTGGAGGGGACGGCCGAGGAGTAGCTGCGGGTTCCACCACCTTCCTATCAGTCTCATCTTCAACATCAGCCTGTGCTGGGTGGTCAGTGGGATCATTGCATCATTGCTCTCAGCCACCCGGAGGCAGGAGCCAAGTGTTACTTAGTTCCAAGCCCTGGGATTTGATCCGACGCCACGGGTCATAGAGGAACGATGTTGGCAAGTCATCTCAGCTTCCTGGGGGTCTTAACTGTCAGATGCTAAAACAATTGAGAAATTGGGGAGGGGTTGCTAAACTGATGCTTTCTTGTCTTAGTTGAAGTATTATATTTAAGAAAATAAACTCCTGGGGCTATTCACTTTCCCTTTAAGATGTCTGTGTTTGAAATTATTTCGTAAAATGTAGTGTTGATCATCTCAGGGCAAAGTTAAACAATAGGGTTACATGACCAACTCCCAAAGAAGGATTGTGTTGGTTACTCAATCCCTTCACTTCCTGCTTCCTCAAACGCCTCCTTTCTGCGTCTAGGGCTAAGCTTGACAAGATCGGGAACTTTCTCATAGATTCCCTCTCCGGGTGAGGAAGAGCAGGCAATGCTCTCGGTTGCATGGAGGGCTGGCCCCCCTGTGGCTCTCCGCGCTGTTCAATCCCCTGGATTGGAGCGTGACAACATGACATCAGCAGCAGCTTTGTTTGCTCTGAGAGCACATTATGCCAGAGTAACTGGAGAAAGAGATCTGTAGGCTTGGACAAGTTCTGGAAAATGGGGTGCCAGAAAGGAGACTGCCAGCCAGTCTGTCCTGACTCTCTGGTTCGGTCATCCCCAAAGTCATTTCTTAGGGCACCTGAACTGGCAAACTCCTAAGGGCCAGGTGTAGAGTAAGATTGTTCCAAATAGACACACAGACTAATAGAGGTGACAAGGAGCCAGAATCATACAATGGAAAGTAGAACGCCTCTTCGATAAATGGCGCTGGGAAAATTGGAAGGCCACATGCAAAGGGATGAAACTAGACTACTGTCGGACAACATACATAAAAATTAACTCAAAATGAATTAAAGGCTTGGATATAAGAACTGAGACAGTGGGATACATAAAAGAACACATAGGTACTAAACTTGCGGACCTTGGTCTCAGAGGAGTTTTTATGAACTTGACCCCAACGGCCAGGGAAGTAAAAGCAAAAATAAATGAGCGGGACTACATCAAACTAAAAAGCTTCTGCCCAGCAAAAGAAACCATCAACAAAACAAAAAGGCAACCAACCAAATGGGAGAAGTTACTTGTAAACAATATCTCCAGTGAGGGGCTAGTATCCAAAATGTATTTAAAAACTCATCCAACTCAACAACAAAAACAAACAATCGAATTAAAAAACGGGCAGAGGACCTAAATAGACACTTTCCCCAAGGAGACATATGCATGGCCAATAGATACATGAAAAGACGCTCAGCTTCACTAGTTATTAGGAAAGTGCAAATGAAAACCACAACGAGGTACCGGCTCACACTGTTAGAATGGCCGTCATCAATAAGATAAAAAATATGTTGGCGAGAATGGGGCGAAAAGGGAACCCTTGTTCACTGCTGCTGGGAGTGTTACCTGGTACGGCCTCTAAGGAAAACAGTCTGGAGGTTCCTCAAAAAATTAAGAGTAGAGCTACCGTATGACCCAGCAACCCCTCATCTGGGTATCTACCCCCCAAAATTGAAAACATGTATTCACAAAGAGATGTGCACCCCTATATGCATTGCAGCATCAGTCACGGTGGCCAAGATATGGAAGCAACCAAAGTGTCCTTCAGCTGATGACTGGATAAAGAAGCTGTGGGACATACATATAATAAAATACTACTCAGCCATAAGAAATTATGAAATACTGCCATTGTGACAGCGTGGGTGGACCTCGAGGGTATTATGCTAAGTGAAATAAGTCAGACGGGAAAGGGCAAGAACCACGTGACTTTACTCTGTGGGTATAAACAGAAAGCAACAAATGGAAAGACAAACTCGTGGACACAGACAGTGGTGTGGTGGTGACCAGAGAGGTGCGGGGTGGAGGTGGGGGGATGAAGAGGGTGAAGGGGTCAAATAGATGGTGAGGGAAGGTAACTAGACTTTGGGGCAGGGTGAGCGCACAATGTAATATACAGATCATATATTAGGGAGTTGTACACCCAGAACATGTTACCCCAATAAATTTAATTTTAAGAAAGATTGTTGTTCCATCAACTGTTTACTCTGAATGACCTTTATCCAAGTTAATTATAACCTCTATGGTAACTATCCTGGTAGAATGAAGTCTACTATATATAAATAAATTGTAAAGCACTGCTGGTGGGAATATATATATATGTGTGTGTGTGTGCATGTGTGTGTATATATGTGTGTGTATGTATGTGTGTGTGTATGTATATGTATATATATATATATATATGATGCTTTACAACTTAATTTACAAAGCACTTCCACATAGTATCTAGATCTAAATACAAGATTCCAGAAGACCTGACAAAATTTAAGAGACCTTTGGGCAGGTCTCTTTTTTCAGCCCCACCTTCCCCTCTGTGTATTGGGTTGACTGGTGCTTATGGCAGTGTCATTGCTCATACCCAAGGGGGCTTCCCTGCCACCTTTCACATCAATGTCATGACTTGTCCAGCACAACTTTTTAAAAACAAATTTTTTTTAAAATGTTTTCAGAGGGTGGAAGGGAGCGAGATAGAGACATCAATAATGAGAGCCTCGTGCACGCCCCCTACAGGGGATCGAGCCCGCAAGCCAGGCATGTGACCTGACTGAGAATCGAACCATGATCTCCTGGTTCATAGGTTGATGCTCAACTCCTGAGCCACTCCAGCCAGGCTTGTCCAGCACAACTTAAGGCACAGTTAGATGCTCAACAAATATTCATGTAATGATTAAAACAGGCTTAGCCCAGGAATGACATTTGGAATCAGAAGATGTATATCTTTGAGTTCCAACCCTTGTACTTTATTGTGTGTGCCCTCAGACAGGACATGGAGCTGTTCAACACCCTTATTGCCAAAGTGGGGATAGTGATCTCCACCCCTGGGCTGGGGAAGAGGGTTGTAAAGCACTGGGCATGGACAGGGCATTCACTCAGTGACGTTGACCCCATGCTGCCAAGGTCACTGGACAGTTTGAAGGTTCTCAGCTCACTATTGCCCTTCTCAATAACTCTCTAAAAATATCCTCCACTAAGAAGGATCCCCGACCCTTTGCCCTTTAATTCTAAACAGCAGTGGCTGCAAGTAAAGGTCTGAAGAGGCAGAACTTCCCTCTGTACTTTGCCTAGACTCCTGCTCTTTCAGAAATGCCCCCAGCCTTCCTGAGAACAACATATTAGTATCCTCCAAAGTTTGGCAGCCTCTTTCCGTTTCCATAGAGATGTAATTTCCCCTTTGTAAAGGGATCAGGTGAAGGGCTGACTGAGAAGGGGGTGTGACCTGGATGTCACTCACTTGTCCAGGATGCAAGGTTGTTCCTTAAATAATCCTGTTCATAGAACTGAGCCAAAAGGGGAGGAGAAGACCTGGGAGCCAGGTTTCTTGGGAAGGTAAATCCAGAAGCCATCAGTGGTCCAACGTCTACATGGGATTTGGCTGCTGTCAAGGGGAAGCAAAAGAGCCCGAAGCTGGAAAGATATCCAAGAAATATACAGAGGTAAGAAACTCCAACAGGCGACATGGCTCTGGATTATTTCTCTTGCTCTGGGGTGGTAGGAGGGTTGGACCATGAGTGCCTGTCCGAAGGCAAACGGAGCATGAAACTTTCTCTCTTCTTATTGATGACATTGCAAAACAAATTACATTGTACACATACACACAAAGTTCAGTTTAAAAACTCTACAGTGGCCCGATTATTTCTGGCTGAAAACTTTAGTATAGCAAAGTGGAGTAGAATAAAATGTCCGCCTAGAATTTGTTTTAATAAAGCTTGAGCTCCATCTGAGCCTTTGAGTTTCAGAGTAAGTCCCTAATATGTCAGTTCTTTTATTAGACTTTTTTGAAGGTATGTCATGGGTTACTTCCCCATTGTAGTTTTTAAGGAACGGATAGGGCTGTGAAGCATTCTTCTCGATGTTATTCCCTGTTTTCCTGAATTGACCTGATCATCCATCCATCCACCCACCCATCCATCCACCTATCCATCCACCTATCCATCCACTCACCCACCCACCCTTCCACTGACCCATCCATCCATCCATCCATCCATCCATCCATCCATCCATCCATCCATCCATCCATCCACTCATCCATCCATCCATCCATCCATCCATCCATCCATCCATCCATCCATCCATGCTCTTCCTAGGTAAGAAGGGATTTCGAATGACTTAGGAAGCCAAACAATAGAAGATGCCAAGTCAGCTTTTCCAACATTTCATTTCAGAGTTGAGATTATAAACTCTGTCTCTCAGTAACGATCCTCGTCTCTCTCTCGGAAACATCTTGTCCCTTTTTTGTGTGAAACCATTTCTTTATGAAACTCTTGGCTGAAACTCTAGAAAGTCCTAAGCGAATACTTTCTGTGCCTGTTAACTTTCAGTTGGTGTTTGAGTGTCTCTGACTGATCTGGAATGTAAATGCACAGATATAAATGCACAGATATAAATGCCCAGGTCCTGACACTCCATCCACACCTCTGCACCCCCACCAACATGCCCAGGCTGAAGGAATCCTGTTGTTGAAGACCCTGTGACACCCCCTAGGGCAGGAACCAGGAACACAGGAACGAGAACTTTCTCTGTTGCCGGTGACTTGTATCTTTGTTTTTTCCATCCTTTGGCCGCCTCCCTTGACATTGGGAACCCACGGGGCCTTGACCATCTTCAAGGGCTGGGCATTAGAAAGGTGGGTGTTTCCCTGTGCTGGTGGCTGGGCAAGGGCCAGGTTTGCTGCTGTGAGTGGAGTTTGAGTGAGTTGCACATCACTGCCGCCCCTTTCCTCCACCCCCTCACCCCCACATCAACGAGGCCATTCCAAAGTGGGGCTTGGAAGGTTCTTCTTTCTCTAAAATATGCTAATTACACATATAAAGCAATATAGAACAACAGGGTACTGTTAGTGAAAATTACCCCTTTGTTCAAGTGCTGTTCATGAGTGAGATGAGGTGACTGGTTTGGGTGAATAGCAGTGTTTCAGGGGGTTGGAGCGGTTTCAGGTCTTCTTGTCTAATGGGCACATTGCACCTGGGTGGGGGGGGTTCATAACCCACTTCCATTTGCCCTTGAGACGAGAGCAATCTATTTGAGAAAGCAAGTTTTCTTCCATTTGGGTGGTTTTCATTTGAGCCAAAGGTGTTCTAATGTTAGCAGAATATTAGCATTGAATGCCTCTGGAGCCATGTATGTGTGCCAGCTACGCAGACACTTAAGAATGGACCCTGAGTGCGTCTGGTTTGTGGCTGTGGTGAAATTTTAGAAACTCAGTTGATACCTCCATTCAGAGATGAGAAACGATACCTACCGCCATGAGTGCTGACGTTGCAGCGGGCACTGTGCTGTTTCACAAACACCGGCTCATGTAATCCTCGGGACAGACTGGGGGCGGCGTGTCACTTAGGAACTGCGCACCAGTGGCCGGGGCAAGTGGCGTCCACAGTTCATCACGGCCGGTTAGTTATAGGTTTCCTCGTTCCGCCCACTGTGTCACTCGAGCAGCCTCAAAAAGAAAAAGAATTGTACCCAATGGCAAGTAAGCAACAGAAACCAGAAAGAGCAGTGTTTTAGACACGCCAGAGCTTTATTTTCTTTGCCACGAGGACGCCTGGAGGTAAGTAGACCAAGGCTGTAGGGGTGCGTCGCCTCTCAGGCCCCAGGCTCGCCCCGCCGGACCCAGCCCACACTCTCCACCCTCACGTTTGTGTCACCACCCGGGACCCCTGCTGCAGCGCCAGCCACCATGTCTCCATGACCTGGAAAAAGGCAGGAGGATGAAGGAAGGGGGGTGAAAAAGGCTTTCTCAGAAAGTGCCCCCCACCTCCAACAGCCTCCACCCTCAGCTCAGTGGCCACCCATGAACCAGGCCCAAGGGAAGGCTTGTTGGGGTGAAGGCAGCCAGCTAGCTGTTCCCCCCGGGTCGCTGGTGGTGTTATTTCCAGGTGAGCAGATGGATGTAGAAATGGAGCCAGTTCAATCTGGGCCTCACCATGGCTGCTGACTTTTTGCTCTCTCCCTTCCTGCCTCCTTCCCCCCTCCTCTCATTCTTCTCTCCCTCCTCCATCCCCACTCTCCCCTTCCTTCCTGCGCCCTCCTTCTGTCCTTCCTTCTTTCCTTCCTGTGTTTGTCCATTTGGCACTTATATAGTGATTCCTAAAGCTTTCTGTTACTCTCATTTTGTTAGTTATTACAGAAGGTGAACAGTTTTCCAGTTTTGTTTATATTATATATCCTCTTGGGAATTGCCTGTTCATGTGATTTGCCCATTAATTTATTAGGATCTTATTTTTTTTTCTTGTAATTTGTGGTTATGTCTACTACAAACATTTACAGGAGAAAAAAATGAAAGAAAAAGTGAGTAAGAACAAAAAAAGGAAACTATGACATCGCAACTGTGAATCTCCCTTTATGGGATCAGTTTATTTTATTTTTATTATTTTTTTATGGGATCAGCTTTAATTGCGAGATCTGTGAGGCCGTTATCTTGGATGTAACACCTCTTTGCTGATGAGAGAAGTATATAGGATATTTAGGACTCATGTGGCTACATAATCAGGTTAAAACACACCTCAGATTAAAGCTTGTTCTGCTCAGCAAGTGGCAGATTTCCTGGGTCTCTTTTCTTGCCAAGCAATACAAATAGCAGGAGACTTACTGCACATTGTTTCATTACTCAAAGGCAGTCTTTCCGAATGTCACAATTGTAAAACGTTTACATTGCTATGAGAAGTCATAAACTTGGCTGGTAGAAGAGGTTATATGTTGAGTGAAGACTGAATTTACTGTTGGGCATTTAGTTGTAACTGAATTTAAGATGAACTTACTGGGATTAAAAAAAATATTTCCCCACCCAGCTAAATCGTTTCATTCTCTAACACTACAAATGGCAAGAGTAGAGTCACTTTTGGTTTTTAAGTTTGCTGCTGTGATTTGCATGACTATTTTTAAGAAAAAAAATTTGTATAATTTACATACAATAAAATTCACCACTTTACAGTGTCTATAATTCAATGATTTTTAGTACAGTCACAAGGTCATACAAACACCGCCACTATTTAATTCTCACCGAATGGTAATGCTTTCATGTTTTTCTGTAAACCTGTAGTTAATCTTTCCATCTAGAAACATGATATTCAGTCATACCCAATTTTCAATGTGTACTGAGGTCTTCTTTATAATCAAAAGGTCATTTTTCTGCTAACCACTTTATTTAAAAGTTACCAGATAAAGAACACCCCTCCAAAGGGTGTTTGTTTGGACAATGTCTGGAAGGAAACAAGGAAACCGTGATAGTTTCTAGAACAGCCTTTGTTCATGCCTTTCAGGCTGAGATACCAATTATTTTTCCTCTCTCCACTCTGAAAATAATAACTTTTTATGCTTTTTCTGGTGTCCCTTGGGAAGAGGGGTCTCCTGGACTTATTTCTGAGCATTATTGGTCTGTCACTGTGACAGTGTTTTAAGAACACAAACAACGTCTGCGCTGCAGCATAGTTGTTTTTATGTGTATCTTTGGTGTCCCCAACTAGATGAGAAACTCCTAAGGGCGAGGAACATGCCAGACAATCCTTCCAAGTCCCCGCAGGAGCCCATGCAACACAAAAGGCAGAGCCTGAGCAAGAAATAATGCAAACTTTAATGACCCCGATGGGCTGCCTGAGTTCTGGCTGCTGCTCACTAGCTGGTGACATTGGAAGAGGGATTTCAGAATCTCATTTTTTAAGCTATTTATTTTGAAAAATGTTGCACATCTGTAAAAGCAGAGGGCAGTAAAAGGAACCTACAGTCTGTGCTAGTATCAACATAATGCTACCAATCTTATTACTAACAGTATAATCACTGAGAACAGGTTAGGAGTTCTGTTCATCCCACTAGGGATGTAGAGTTCCATGCCCGCGTCTTGAAGTCGTTTGCAAAACATTTTATTAACTTCATCCTCGGCTTTCTTTGGTTTATTTTTCTTTTGATTTGGGGGGATTAAGAATCATTTTTTAGGATTAAATACAAAAAGGGGGGATGAAAAGAAGGGCTCCATGGGTTTCTGTTGGTAGTAAATGAAAATAATACACAAGGCCCTGGCGGTGTTGCTCAGTGGTTAGGGTGTTGGCTTGCACACCAAAGGGTTGTGGGTTCGATTCCCAGCCAAGATTACATACATGGGTTGCAAGCTTGATCCCCAGCCCCATGTGTGGGAGGCAACTGATCTACATGCTTCTCTCACATCAATGTTTCGCTCCCTCTCCCTCTACCCCCCTCCAAAAAAAAAAAAAAATCAATGGAAAAATATCCTGGGTAAGAATTAAGAAAAAATATAATACACCAGAAAGCACGCTGTAACATGTGGTTACACTGTGAGTAGAGGGCCAATGGAAGCGGGAGGGTCTGCCATTGGGATCACTTCTCTGTAGCAAAGCCCACCTTCCACCCAGGCCAAGGATGCTACCCGTCAAATTGCCAAGAGCTCGCCTGGCCCCAGCCCCAGTGCAGGGTCGATGACTAGCCCCTGGGGCCCAGTGATCTCATTTGGCCATTTAACCTCTCTGTTTCAGGTTCATTAATATGCAAAACGGGGATACATTATAAAACCTACTCCACAGATTTCCTGTGAAGATGAAAGAAAACTATGTACTCAATTATAATTCTTTCCTCCCTCCCTCTCCTGCATCCATCGGCGAAGCTGGGTGGGAAATCGGAACCGTTCAGAAGATGCCAACCAAGCAGGTGGAGCCGGTCACCATCATCAGCCTGCGGAAGCTGAGCCTGGGGACCCCCGAGCCACAGCCGAAAGGTGAGGTGATCTAGAAGTCCCTGAGGCTCAAGCTGTAGCTTAATTCCACCCCACTGCCCCGTCTTTACTAGTTTTTATCACACCGAGTTGGTTTGCCAGCGTCCTCTGGGGTGAGCCATAGTCCACTCACGTTGCCCACCCACAGAGGCCGCTCTTTCCACTCTGTCCTTCCTCGTTAGAGCCAAAGACCTTCACCGTGGAAGACGCCGTGGAGACCATCGGATTCGGACGTTTCCACATCGCCCTGTTTCTGATCATGGGCAGCACTGGGGTGAGTGCAGCTTGGAGGTCGGTTGAGTCTCTGAAGCTATTTCACTGCGGGCCACACGGAGTCTCCCACTGACTCCAGCTCAGGGCTGTCTGTCCTTTCAGGGTGGGGTGTGAAAGGGAACAGGGGCTTTGTGAGGTGAACAATCCAAAAATAATTTTCACCTCTTTTTGGCAGGTGTTTGGTTACCAGCAAAGGAATATCTGTGTTCTGTGAATTCAATACCCATGTTTAAAAAAGGTTTAAAGTGAGGTACTGGGAAGGGAGAAGAAAATGATGGTATTGTTCGAAGTTAAATTAGAAACACGATTCTTAAGCATTTTTGCATAAGAAGCACTTGGGTAGGTGCCTGTTGTAGTTGTAGATTTCCAGATCTTTTAAGGGCGCTGATGAAGGTGTAGGGGAGGAACAAATTTTCTCTACCCTCTAGGCTCTTCTGGCTGGTCTATTACATAGACATGAAACAGAGATTAGCAAGAGAAAAAGCCAAATTTCATGCATATGTATGTATGGCAACCTTGAATACATGAGAGTCAGCGACCCCACATGCGGGAGAGGATCCCAGATAGGAAGGGGGATGGTGACATCCTGAGCTAGGGATGAGGTAATGCACCTTGGAGGCCTCAAGGGGCCATTGCAGGATGGTAAGAACAGAAACAGAAGCTTGCCCTGCCCTACAGATAAGTCAAAAGAAGTCATCTCTGGCCCAGCCGGTGTTGCCCAGTGGTTGAGTGTTGACCTATGAACCAGGAGGTCACGGTTTGATTCCTGGTCAGGGCACATGCCCCGATTGTGGGTTCAGTCCCCAGTAGGAGGCATGCAGGAGGCAGCCGATCAATGTTTCTCTCCCATCATTGATGTTTCTATCTCTCCCTCTTCCTTCCTCTCACTGAAATCAGTAAAAACAAATTAAAAAAAAAGAAGTTATCTCTGATCATCTCTTTATGGGCAAGGCCCCAGATCCAAATTCTTCTAGGTTAAAGGGAGGGCCAGAAGTTTCTCTTGAGCCTGGAGCTAAAATTGCCTTTAGTTCAAAGTAATCTACCTACTATATCTTGGGGCGACTCGTTCTGTTATTTACCGTCTGTTAGTCTGACGAAAAGGGGGACAGCTCAGCCTGGAGGCTTTCACAGTGGGATGTCCAGGAAGCCTCTGCTGCGTCCTCCTTTTGCAAGCGGAGTGAAAATATGGTAAGAACGCCTTGTGGAGACGCATAATGATAGTGATAGTGAGACCGGATGGAAAACCCGAGACAAGTGGGCAACAACAATGGTTTCAGGCAGGAGAAGAGGTAACTAAGGGGGAGACCAGTCCCTGGCCGGGTGGCTCAGTTGGTTAGGGCACCATCCCCTACACCAAGGTTGCAGGTTTGATCCCTGGTCAGGGCACACTTAAGAACCAACAAATGAATACATAAATAAGTGGAACGACAAATTGATGTTTCTCTCTCTCCCTCCTTCCCTTCTTCTCTCTCTAAAAGTCACTCCCTTAAAAAGAGAGAGAGAGCAAGATAAACGCTAGAGAGTCCTGACCATCATTGTTCGGCTACATGGATTTAGAAGGATGTGAGCTGGAGGTAACAGGACAAGTTCTGAGGCCTCTCAAGAGCCTCGCACTCTCAGGAGGTGGTCTAGTAGAGAAAGAGAAAAAGGCGGGGCCACATCCTAGCCCTACTTTTATAGTCACCAATAGTAGAGTGTCAAACATTTCCTCATCTATAAAGTAAGGTCTCACCTAGGCTCTGAATTTTTAGGATTCCATATTTCGAGGGACAGGTAGGTGTGGATAGTAGGGTCTTATAATCATGTCTCCTCCCCTTTGACCCAGAATATCTCTCCTTTTTTTGGCGTATTTGACTTCTAGTATGTGTATTTCATGGTCCCTTTGCTTAAACAGTGTTAGAAACTCTCTGCATTTTTTACCTTCAAATATGTCGGGAACCAATTTTTTCTTTCATTACGGCCCCCTAGCAAGTGAAAAGAAAGTGAAGAAAATTTTTACCTCTCCATATATCAACCAAACCCCCCATATAAAGGATGTGCATTCTCTATTAGTTATTGTTTATTTTAGAACGACAATGCCATGTGCCTCCTTTCTATTGTATCACCTCTCTACAGATAACCCGTCTCCAGTCCATATCCATGGAGATCGTATGTCTAGTGCACCTTTACACTTGATGTTGTGAAATGGCTTCTGGTCTTTAATTTTTAGTGTTTACAGGCTACTCCAATCCTTTCCAGCCCATCAGCTAGAAAGGGCTGTTTACCAGGACCCTCCACCCCCCCACACACACACAAAATAAAAGAGAAGTGCTTATTTGGGTGTGGTAACCAAATCCCTCCCCTGGTTTTGGGATGGGCTGCTTTGTGGACCAGGATCTTCTCATCAGAACAGGGGTGTTGACAGTGATGGGTGAGCCTCTACTGGCCGTGGCCTGGACCGGCTCTTGTTCACAGGCATTGGGAGCGGGGTTTCCGGGCCTCATAGGACCGGGATGTATGTGAGAGCACCACAGCAGCAGAGACCCCTCAGTCCGTGACCGGGAGTCCTGGTTTTCTCTAAGGTCTTCCATGAGGTCTTCTAAGATCTTCTTATATGGTGCTGCTCCTCCATGCCCCCCTCCCTAGCTCCTGGCTGGTCCCTCTGCCCTAAGGCTATTATACAGGGTGGGGCAAAAGTAGGTTTGGCAGTTGTTCAGATGGAAAATAACACAATAATTAGCAAGTAATAATACAAGAAAAAACTGTGTGTTTTGTGTACTCACAACTGAAAACCAACTTTTGCCTTACCCTGTATTTTTGGCTTATTTCTCCCTAAGATTCTACTCCCAATCAGGAGTGGAGTCCTGATTAATATTGACCCAAGTGCTCTCACGTTACCGAGTGAGATAAGTTTAATAAATCCAACTTTGTCCAGAGAATCAAACGTGCTACCTCCTTTTGGGCTAAAACATACTCGCTGTATAAACTCCAAACATGACTGTAATACTCTCTGAGGGNTACTTTTGCCCCACCCTGTATTATTGGCTTATTTCTCCCTAAGATTCTACTCCCAATCAGGAGTGGAGTCCTGATTAATATTGACCCAAGTGCTCTCACGTTACCGAGTGAGATAAGTTTAATAAATCCAACTTTGTCCAGAGAATCAAACGTGCTACCTCCTTTTGGGCTAAAACATACTCGCTGTATAAACTCCAAACATGACTGTAATACTCTCTGAGGGCAGCCGAGCTGTTACGATATACTTCGAATCCCCACATATTAGCTCACATCACTGTACCTTTTCCATCCCAGATCTCTAAGTTACACAAATACAAATATACAAATAGTACTATAATAAATCCCCATACAAATGCCTTATTGCTTCCAATAGAACATGTCCCAAATAAATTCATTTCCCCCTTCCCTTCCTTTTATTTCCACCTGACGCCCTTTTTTCATCCCACCCTCCAGGCACAAAACCTCAGAATTACCTTTGACTTCCTTCTTTGTTATTCTGAGCCAGATTCCTATGATCTATTTCTATTTATTCCATCAATTCCTTTCTACCATTGACTTCATTTCCCTGGGAGATAAACTCACCCCCTAACGGACAGCAAGATATGGACAGAGGGTGATAATTAAACTTCCTATTGCAAGAAATATTTAGTAGCACATCGTACACGAAGTGTGCTAAGTAGACACTCTTTCCTGATGACGACCCCGTATTGTGTGTCTTTGTCGCTTTATTGTTTTCTAGCTTTCACGAACCCTGTCTCCCCACCCCAACTTGTTGAATAAGGGACTAGTTGAAAAATCCATCCTTTGCAAGGGGTATGTCCTGGCAGCTTCCTGATGATTAGTATAAAACAACAAAGCTAGTTGGTGTGGATGGTGGTGGCGAGCCACTGGCTGAGTGACTGGCCTCCGCACAACACCCTCAGAGTGTCGCAGTGCAAATGCACGAATCCCCCATTGCGAGGGAACATGTGCTATAAGTCTGGGGGCCATTTAAAAGTGTCCAGGTAGTGAGAAGTGGGTGTGCAATGGGTGCTCCCTAAATGGGGGAGGGGAAGGAAGCGGTTAGTGCCAGAAAGCTGATGAATAGGTGGACGTGGGAAGAAGCGATGACAGGCTGGCACTCGGACATGGTGTTTTCCCTCCTCCTTTAGGTTGCCGAGGCCATGGAGATCATGCTAATAGCGGTTGTGTCTCCTGTCATCCGCTGTGAATGGCAGCTGGAGAACTGGCAGGTGGCATTAGTGACCACGGTGAGTGCCTGTTTCCTGAGCTGCAGATGAGCCAACTGAGGACCAGGGCTTCCACCCCCCTTCCCCATCCACAGGGCCGAGAGCCAAAGGATACTCCACCACTTGGTCTTTTGGCTTTCAAAGCTCGTGGGTTTGCAGGCCCCAACTAGCATCTTTATTTTCCCCTGGAGAGCATAACTTTGAATTGCTTATTTCCAGCTCCTAGCAAAAGCCCCAAAGAGAAAAATGCAAATTAAAGAAGGTAACACTTAAACCATNCCCAAAGAGAAAAATGCAAATTAGAGAAGGTAACACTTAAGCCATGGGTTAGATACGCTTTAACTATTAACTATTAGTTCAGATCACTGAGAGACTACTTCGCGTGGCCATAGTGACTTAACCAGTCACCAAACTGAATTGCTTGCGTTACACATGCAACCTTTCTCAGAGCCCATATGGATAGCGTTAGGAATTGCACACCAAGTTTTGCTGCAAAGTGGAAGTAAGTTTGCTGTAGACCAGTGTGGGTGTTACACCAGCAGCAGCCTTGTCCATCTCGTGTTTACCTCGTGTCGGCCTGTGTCACATTCCCTTGTGCGTGATTTATCTTGTGTTGATTGGACAGTAACAGGCTGTGCAGGCTTGTGGCCGGGAGCTCTAGGCTATACTATGCGGCCTCGGTGCGGAGGAGGCTGTGCCATCTGGGTTTATGTCCGTGCCCGCTGTGGGGTTAGCATGATGACAGGATCGCCTGACAATGCATTTCTCAGAGTGTGTCCTGACCACTAAGTGGTGCCTGACTGTAGAGACTTAATTCCAGGGGAACCTAAATTTTGGGATTCACCAACTGATATAATTTTTAAAAAATTGACATTAAAACACATATATATTTGGCAAGTGAGGTCATTAGAAGAAGAAGGGAAGGAGGCAGAAAATCTTGCCGTCAACAACTGTCGTCTTTCAAAAACAGAAGGGCCCGCTATTACCAACAATCAGAAAGCAAATTATTCCAGAATAAAAAGAGCCCTTCCTGTTTAATAAATTTAGATTTCTGCAAAACGTACCCCATTGTCCTTGGTTTTACCAACTTTGCAGAGGACTGATTAGATTTTGTTCTGGCGAAGCATGTACCCCAGGACTGGCATTTAGAAACCACTGGCTTTTTAAAACCAGAGGAAACGCATGGCTTCTGTCATTGGAGAATAGATGCGATGTTTTTTTATAGTTCCCCGTGGAAGAAATGGGCCTGAGGGTCCCTTAGGAAGGGCAAGGAAGAAACAGAGGAAGGGAAAGCAAAGCGGGAGTGGAGGGAAACAGATCTTCACTGAAAACGTGTTAGAAATGCCAGCTACCACCTTGCCTTCGATTGCCCTGGAAGCAAGCAGGGATCTTTCTAGAAGCTTGGAGCTGCTGAAGGCATGGACGTCAGATTATCACTCAGGCTGAGTTAAAATGCTGGTACAATGGTGCCTTGGTTTTCAAATGTCTCCGTTGACAAACATTTCGGGTTACGAACGCCGTAAACCCGGGAGGAAATCCTTCGGGTTTCGAACCCGCCTCGGAAGTCGAACATGCCCCACAGCTTCCGCTGAGGGCAAGGTCCTGAGGCCGGGCTGTCGGCTGCGGATCCCTTGGTTTCTGAACGTTTCAGAGCTCGAACGGGCTTCTGAACGGATCCCATTCGGAAACCGAGGCACCGCTGTATTATATCCAGGGTCTTGAGTTTTATTTAGGACAGGTCATCGTGAGAACAAGTAAGGAAAAGAGGTAGGTTTGGATTAGATTCGAGGAGTGTTCCTAAAAGAATGATCGCTTTGGGTATTTGTTTAAAGTTTCTGTTTGCCTGTAATAACATAAAGGAGACTGCTTCTGGAAGTCTCACCTCGTGTGTGGAATGAGAGCATGAGTGAATGGAGTTTCCCAAGTTACTAAAATGGAAATTCACAGTTGTACATCCGAGTGGAGTAGGGCCAATGCTGTCCCGCTGGGTGGGAGGGAAAGCAGTCGCCTGTTCTTCCACCTGGTGGCAGGGTTTCCAGGTGTGAGGTCCCCCAAGGGGAAGCCTCAGCCTGGGGAAGCCCTGAACAGGCTCCAGGGAGTCAGGGGAGATCTCTGTGAAAACCCCTTCTGCGCCCCCACGCGTGCACATTTCTAATCTACCTGTAATTGAGGTGGATGGGTGCTTAGTGCAGTGAATTAGCAGGTTAGCACAACTCTGCTCAGAGGAAGATTTTTCTCACCCCCGCCTCCAGATGGTGTTTTTCGGCTACATGGTCTTCAGCATCCTCTTTGGCCTCCTGGCTGACAGATACGGCCGCCGGAAGGTAGGTTGGCCTGGAAGGGTGATTTGCAATTTTCTTTTGTGTGTTGTTTTGTGGCCATGTCACCTCTGCTTCTCTCTCTCTTTCTCTTTTTTTAAAAAAATATATTTTTATTGATTTCAGGGAGAGGAAGGGAGAGGGAGAGAGAAACATCAATGACGAGAGTCATTGATTAGCTGCCTCCTGCAAGCCCCCTACTGGGGGTTGAGCGCACAACCCGGGCATGTGCCCTGACCAGGAATCGAACCCCGATCGCCTGGATCCTAGGTCGATGCTCAACCGCTGAGCCACTCCAGCTGGGCTGCTTCTCTCTTTTTAAAAATAGGTTTTTATTGATTTTTTAGAGAGTGAGGAAGGGAGAGGGAGAGAGAGAGAAACATCAGTGGCTGCCTCCTGCATGCCCCCTACTGGGGATGGAGCCCGCAACGAGGGCACATGTCCTGACTGGGTGGGGACTCGAACCGGAGACCTCCCGGTGCGTGGAATGACACTCAGCTAACTGCACCACACTGGCCAGGGGACCACTGCTTCTCTTTAGTGGACATTTCTCTATCAACACCCAAGATAGAAAGTGCAGAAATGGCCCTGGCCGGTGTGGCTTAGTTGGCTGAGCATCGGCCCGGGTACCAGAAGGTCATTGGTTTGATTTCAGGTCGGGGCACACGCCCAGGTTGTGGGTTTGATCCCCAGTCTGGGTGGTATGGGGGGCAGACTGATTGATGTTCCTCTCTCACATTGATGTTTCTCTCTCTCCCTCTCCCTTTCTCTCTCTCTCAAATCAATAAAAATGTTTTTTAAAAACGTGTAGAAATGCCCTCCTCTGACATCACATGGCCAAATTCCAGGCCTGTCTTCTTACTTTCTCAGCTTTCCTGAGGTACCTGTCCCCATACTTGGTCCCTGTGGTTCAGGTATGGAGTTGGTGGATGTGCATAGTTAGAACATGTTAGAATGTGGGGATACACATAGAAACATAGCCGCTTCACATTGGAACTGAGCCACTTGCTCAAGGTCATGCACCTGTGATGATTAAACGTTAAGATAAATCGATGTCTTCTGATTACAAACCCAGGTCTCTCTTCTTTTCTTGTCTGTTTTCTCATGGGGAAGGCCCCTGGAAGCATAAACTCAAAGGGAGAAGCCCCAGAGGAAAACATTAATAGAATTGGCTGCTGTTTTGAAGTACACAAAATAAATATCATAGGCACTTATGGTAACACAAGTATCTCAAAAAAAAAAATGTAAAGAGCACAAAAAGGCATGTGCTCTTTTGTACTTCTCACAAAAGAAGTACACATGGTTAAGAGACCTTGCAAAACATTCAATCACAGGAGTTATCAGAAGCAAAATTATGTAGCATCGATGAAAAGAAAACGGAATCTCTGTAAATTTAACAAAGAATTTCCTTTGGGCCTTTCTGAGGGCCACAGCCCAGGAGCAAAGCTTCAAGAGGCCCAGAACTGCTCTAACTTTGGAGAGGTGGGCGGCGCTCAGGTAGGCAGAAAAATAAGCAGAAGTACATCTGGCAGGTCCGGAGCTTCAGCTGGGGCGTGTGCAACTCAGTGCGACAGTTTTACATCAAGTGGAAGGAATGCACCAGAAAGATAGTTTGGGTCATAGCGGTGCCCCTGGAGAGAATGGATAGGAAAGATAAGGTTGGGTCTGGAAGCAATTAAGCGGCCTTGGAACTGCCTGAGATGCATTTTCATGTGGATATTGAAAGAACAGACACTTGTTTTCTGTCATCACTGACCTTTGGGTTTGAAATTCTGCAGAAGGTGTGGAGGCCAGCCCCCACGGTGGGCCTCAGTGAGGAACTCAAGGAGGCTCGTGGTTACTGCTTTAGCCAGACTAGCTTAAGCACCTGTTTATTTCCTCAAAAGCCAGATATAATTCTTTCCTTATCAAATTTATTTCAAACATCAAATTCTTTCATTCTTAGAGAAGCCTGAAAGTGTATAGATGCCCTCTCATACTATTGGTATCGTTTTTCTGACCGTCAGTTTGTCAGTGTGAATCAAGAACCTTGAGCCTTGGCCAGTGTGGCTCAGTTGGTTGGGTGTTGCTCTATGCACCAAAAGGTTGCTGGTTCAATTCCCCCGGCAGGGATCTCTCCTAGGTAAGGGGGCGTGCAAGAGGCAGCCAATCCATGTTCCACTCTTACATCAACGTTTCTCTCTCGCTCTCCCTCTCCCTTCCTCTCTCTTTAAAAATCAATAAAAATATATTTTTTAAAAAGGACCTTGAGAACATCTATCCTCATCTGACAGTTGTCATTCCAGAAACCTAGCCTGTTGAGATCATCGGAGAAGCACAAAGATTTATGCACGTTCACCGTCCCAGCTTATTTTAATAGAAAATGTGAAATCACATCAACGTTCAGTGATAGGGGAAAGGTTTATGCATTATATTATATGTAGCGTAGTACATGTTTCCAATGGCATATTTTACAGCCATTAGAAATATAAGTTCTCTGGCCCGGCTGGGTGTGGCTCAGCAGTTGAGCATTGACCCAGGATCCAGGAGATCGTGGTTCGATTCCCGGTCAGGGCACAGGCCCGGGTTGCGGGCTCGATCCCCAGTGGGGGGGCGGGCAGGAGGCAGCCGATCAATGACTCTCTCATCACTGATGTTTCTCTCTCTCTCTCTCTCTCTCAAAATCAATTTTAAAAATGTTTTCCCTTCCAAACAGGAAAAATAGGATAAAATCATATCCACGGTATTTTTCTCTGGGTTAGAGAATCAAGGGTGATTTAAATGTTTTTATTTCTGTTTCTTTTTTCCCCCCATACTTTCTACTATGAACTTGTATTATTCTTACAATTAGAGAAAAGGCAAATACCTTAATTTCCCTCCTTATACCCGTCCCAACACAAGGCTTCCTGTGCTCCTGGCATCCTGCGAGCAGGGAGGGCAAGTTTCTGCCTTCTCTACGCAGGTCTGGGATTTCAAAGGATGGGCTAAACTTAGAATGGTGAGTGAAAAAGGGGCTTTCATAAAGCTGGCATGTCCAGTGAGCGAAGGTGACCTCACAGGGTGACGTGATCACAAATTCCTAACTGGGCCGGTCATGGTGGGCAGGCACGTCCCCGGCCTCTAACTTCCTTAAGCAGGCCCTGGCATTGTTCTTGTGCATCTGGGTCACCACCCCTTTGAAATGCCCCAGTGGTCCTTCCACCGCCCTCCGGGAGCACAGAGCTATCCTGCATCCCACCCGCAGAGATTTCCCCTCCTTGCTTTCTCTCGCCTCCACGACATCCCCCTTCCCTTCCCTCCTTAACTCCAAATGTATGGAAGGAAGCCCAGAGCATGTGAGATCTTGCTCCCTGCCAGATGTCATCAGTTTGCCTCAAACAAACTCAGAAAAATTCTCTGCAGGTTCGGAGGTTCTCAGGTCCCCGGGTGGCCTGGGCTTTCGGACAATAGAAAGTCGGGGGTCGTGCTGTTTGATGATGGGGGCGGGTCAGTGAGCTCGCTGCAGGCCAGCCCCCCGGAGAAGCAAACCTCTGGACGGGAATGGCCTTCGGCAGTGAGGTCCCCCCATGCTCCCTGGGGGCGGGTCCCGTTACTAACCTCTTTGTTGCTTCAGATCCTGTTCCTGTCGTTCCTGTGGGGCGCCTACTTCTCCTTGCTGACCTCCTTCTCTCCCTCCTACGTCTGGTTTGTGTTCCTGCGGGCGATGGTGGGCTGCGGTGTGTCCGGCCACTCCCAAGGGTAAAGTCTTCACCCCAAGGGAGAGGCACATACACCCACGTGCCCTGGCACACATGCTGTGCTTAACTGATAGCGTCAATAAGTGGTACATCTATGGATTTCATCTGTGCTAATTAGTTTTGAGCTTTTAAAACAAATTTTTCTTAAATGATGATTGCTTATTTCTCTGGTTGCTATTGGCTCATCAAAACGATGACCGATAGTCAGGCCAGCAGACGACTGGATTGAGTGGGTGTCAGCTTTCAGCTTTCTTGTTCCTAAGGCTGCTCATTATATTATGATTTTTCCCTCACCTGAGGAAATGCTTTCCATTGATTTTTTTCAGAGAGGAAAGAAAGATGGGAGGGAGGGGAGGGAGGAAAGGAAAGAGAGAGAGATCAATGTGAGGGAGAAACATCGGTAGGTGGTGGCCTCCCGCATGCTCCCTGACCAGGGATTGAACCTGCCATCCCTCGGAGTTTGGGGTGATGCTCCAACCAGCCAGGGCTCATTATTTTTTAAATAAATACTATTTTGTTAGACTAAATGCTAAACAAAAAGTGCCGTAGGAGGTTGGCAACAAAAACATCAAGCCAAACACAACTTATTCATTCCTTGAGGATTTGTTGGAAGAGTTTAGTTTGACCACAAGCACCTGGGACATTTAGGAATAGCCGTTTAAAAGCGTGATTGCCCTGTAATTTAAGAGAGTGTCAAATGAATTTGCACAGCAGGGTGTGCCGTATTGAAAGATACCCTTGGATGAGTGAGCGGTATCTTGTGTGTGCATGTGAGAGGGCTGATGCTAAATTTTCAGCAGTTTGGAGCCTCCCTTAAATTAACAGGGCCCCTCAGGTTTCTCTCCTGGGTGCTTTGGAACAAGTTCCCTTGGAATATATTAGGAGACCTCAAAGCACCTAATTGTTACCTTTAGGGAAGGAACTGTTCTTCCCTGGGGTGTGGGTTAAGCATCACTTGTTCTTTGGCGCCTGGAGGAGTCAAGTTAGAAGAACTTTAAGACATCCCTCGGAGGGTAGCCCAATAAATACCTACATTAAAAACCCCAAACCTTTGCTAATAACTGCAACAGAAGGCTGCTGGAATGTGAGCTCATTTATTCCATTCACAGAATTAATACGTACTTAATTAGAAACCTATGCTTTGACTGTCATTATTAGTTGAGGGAACTACCTGCTCTTGGTTGTATTTTAATTTCCCAAGTACATTTTAGAAAAGAGACTCAGACTTGGGAAGACGTATGTCCAACATTTCTCTCGGCAAAAGAGATAGACCCATACATACCTCTCAAATAGTAAGAGAGAACCGGAAACCAACAACGCTGACTCCCAGTAATGCTGGGAATAGAAGCATCCCATAGCATCGCGCATCAAAAAGTAGACAGAGGAGCAGTTTTTAAGTTTACTCCTTGCCTCCCTATGTGGATATTAGCTGTTGTTAACCTAAAAATAAAAAGCCACAGCAACAGGCAACAAATGTTTATTTGAGCCAAGGGAAAATCCTAGTTCCCGTTAGGTGAGGGCCGCAGCATTTATGAGAAAGGGAAGGGGATGGTTACTGCCTAGAAGGAAGGATTCCTGCGGCCCCAGAAGCCACGGAGGATAAGCCAAGGCAGGGACTGGCCTGAAGACGGAATTTAACTTGCCGCCTTCCTGTTATCTTTGCAAACAGTTGTTTGGATGCAGCGCTGCCCCAGGCTCCGTCCAAAGGTCATTTGGCCCAGTTTTCACAGTTTCCACGTTCTAGAGGATTGAAGTGGCTCCGTGTATATTCCTTTTTCCAGCTGTCACGATGATATTTTGATGTATGATTGTCCAGGAAAAACTCTCTTCTGTTTTCCTTCAACGCCTGCACTCACTGTTTCTGACAATATTTCTGACACCAGCTGTGTGGATTGTTTTCCCCCCACCACCAAGTCTCTGGCAGCAGCTGGATGTCCTACAGTTCAGTTCGGTTCTGACCCTCGCTAGAGTTCGTGCAGGTCCCACAGGTTAAAGGTCCAGTTCCACAAGCCTGCCCCCCCCACTTCACACACCACTTGCCCATAGTAGGTCCTCAGCTTACCCACAACCTCTGTCTGACTTGGCTACAAATTGGAAGCTCCCACAAACCCCCCTCTCGGGTTCGAGAATTTGCTAAGTGGCTGCCAGAACCAAGGAAAACAGTTCACTTACTATTGCAAGAGGATTATTTATTACAAAAGATATTTCAAAGGATATAAATGAGCAGCCAGATGAAGATACACTCAGGGCGAGAGGCCCAGGAGGGTGGGTTCTGGGCCCAGGGGGTTCCTGAGTCCCTGTGGAGTTGGGATGCGTTCACCAACCTGAAGGTCTTTGAAGGCCACACTTTAGAGATTTTATGGAGGTGTCACTTAACTCATTTTCCAGTCCCTCTCCTTCTCTGGAGGGACGGGGTGGGCCTGGGCGTGCCACCTTCCTCATCATGGCTTAGCCTTTCTAGTGACCAGCCCCCACCGAGGAGCCCACCGAGAGTTACCTCATTAGAACAGAAGATGGTCCTACTGAGGCAGGAAAGTTAGGACAGGGAGCCAAGGAAGGTCACAGACGCGACCTTCACTGACCACCTGTTTCCCTCTCCCCCTCCCCAATGTCCTGGAATTGGAAGGACCAAAAAGAAATCGCTATCTGGAGAGGAGAGACAAAGATGAGCCGTGTAGACAGTCACCCCACCAGCGTCAGAGCAGAGGACCACCCTGTCCCCCACCCTTGCCCATGTTTAATAAAACCCTGCCACCCAGACACCCCCGCGCATCTCTTTCTCCGAGGTCGCCTGCTCTCACTTCTCGAGTGCGTGCTGTCGCTTTGATAAACTTCCTGTGCTTTGCTAGGTCTTTGTCACGCTCTTGAATTCCATCTCACTCAGCACAAGGCCCTGGCTCAGGCTGAGGCCTCCCTTTGGCGCCCGGGTGCCGCCTGGCATCACCATCACCTGGGAAATTTCAAGGGTCTTAGGAGCTCGTGTCAGGAAACCGGAGCCAAAGCCCAAACACTGGCGGGAACCAGGGCAGAGAACAGCAGGCGTCTTTCTTACCATTTCACAACGATGAATGGCCACGATTTCTGATTCTTTATCTCTGTGACAAGAAAAAGTACGATTGTTGAAAGAAGTTATTTGGTTTTCTAAAAACAAAATTAATTTTTCTCCTCTCTCTGTTTAGGCTGATCATAAAGACTGAATTTTTGCCTACGAAATATCGAGGCTACATGCTCCCCTTGTCCCAGGTAAGGTAACACAGGAACTCTATCCAGTCTTCTGACCCTAGGGGACAGGAGGCGCACGATTTTCCTTCTGGCTGGCTGGTTGGTCTTTGAATAGCACTTTGCCTATTGCTCGGTCCCAACCAGAGAGCATTAGGAAAGCTTGACAGCAGAGCTTCCAGGGTTTTCTGAGCCAGGTCTAGTTGTGTATCACCCAGCAGAGCACTTAGAAAACAGCACCCCTTAAAAAAAATTAAATTAAATTAAAAAAAAAAAAAAAATGTCATTAGTGTGGGAAAAAAAAGAAAAGAAAAGAAAACAGCACCCCTCCCTCCATAACCAGGAAACACCGCAGTGCCGATCTCATTGGGACGACAGAAGCCCAGGGAGGCCTCTGGGATGACATCTTCTATGGCGGGACACAGCCCCCACCCCTTTTAGGGTGTCTCCCCTCCCAGGGATACCAGTGTGTCTGCAAATCTGTAACTGACCCGTGCCCATGGGAACATGTCATACGGCCACCTCCCCGATGAGCCATTTGTCCCGGTGAGATTAGGAAGCTCTCAAGCCCCCCTCCAGCCCTGCTGGTCACTGCTGAGAGGTTTTGCATCCAGAAGCTGCGTCAATCTAGGTGCCCTTGAACCGTCTTTGATGCCATCGTTGTCCAAAAGCGCTGACCTTTCAGAGGTCCCAGGAAAGAGACAACCCTTCCCGCTGACGCATTATGTATTTGACAACACATAAAGTAGTTGGATACTGCTTTTAAGTTTATTTTTAATTTTTCTGACACTAAATTTAGGCAACAACAACAGCAAATTAGAGCCTAACAAACACTGAATAGCTCTTTGCCTTCCCCCCAGAGTTCTTCCTCTGATCTTTGTTGAGATGGACACACACACTTTTACTGCTTAGGGGCTGGATTTCACGTCTAATTTATGTAATTGGTACGGTCCCCTCAAGGTCACCTGTGGACGTTTTCTCTCGCACCTGCCACTCACTCCTCAGCGTGCTTCCTGGTCCTGTGTTCTCCTTGCTCGTCTTATTTTCCAGGTCTCCTTGGGTCAGCTAATTTACTCCAATGTCTTAGCCACCTATGTGCGTATGACCCCCAACATCTTTATCCACCACCAAGAGCACCTCCTTGAACTTCAGGCCCCGGTGGCCAATTACTCGATGGCGACTTGAGCATCCTACAGGTTCCTCAAACACACATTCATAGAACTAACCTCTTCATCTTCCTCTGAAGACTCTTGCTTACTTCCAGCTGATAGCAAATGCTATCCCTTCAGTGACCTGAGCCACAAACTCAAGAACCTCCCTGTACCCTTCTCTTTCCCTCACTCCCGGTCAGTGACTCACCAAGTCCTACAGATTCATCCCCTATCACTGGACCCTCAACCGCAGTGTCCATCAGTCCTGTCCCCTTGACCTCCAAAATGTGTGCCATATCCATAAGTTAATTTTTTTTGGCCATTTCACAACTAAAATCCTGTTCAATGCCCATCACCTGTCACCTGGTCTACTGCAAAGGTTTGCTACAGATAGGAAATCTGTTGCCCCTTCAGAAAGGTCCTCCCTGATCACTCAAGTCCCTCGCCATCACATTACTCTTTTTTTTGAGCTTATCACTGCCTGAAATAATCTTATTTGTTTTTTTTGTAACAGAATTCCTTGGCGATGAAGTAGTCACCCCTAAGTAGTCCCCCAAAGGGTCTTTTATGGTATCATCTTCTCCCCATCTCTGTGGGGTGGAATGGAGTCGTCATTTATACTCTGTCTTCCGGATGGGAAATTATGTTGAGGCCGAACACTCAGAATTGTCCTAATTCCAACAAATGGGGTCTGGTCAGAACCGGCTGCCATGCTATTTATTGATATGAAATGATCTCCATGCTATATTTTTAGTGTGAAAAGCAAAGTGCAGGCATTATTTATACTATTTGTGAACAAAGAGAAGCACATAATACTATACTCTTATTGGCTTGGATATGTTTAGAACAGCTTTAGAAGGTTGTAGGGAACTGAGTGCTGATGCCTTCTGAGAGGAGAAACTGGATGGCAGGAAGGTAGGAGAAGAAAATCTCTTCACAGTGTTTTCCTTTGTACCTTGAGTTATGAATCAGAGAATTAGTTATTCAAGGGGAAGAAAACCTCAATGTCTGGGGTCCCAGATTTGTAAAACTTTGGTGACACTGACCCTCTGTCTAGCTGAGACTCCTGCTCACAGACAAGCAAACGAAGCCGTGGAGAAGTGAAGTCACTTCTGCATTCATCCAGGTCCTGAGTAGAACCTGAACCCTGGCTCCTCAGTCAAAGACCCTCCTCCCATCTCACCCTCTCCGGCCGTGAAATGCAGGAGGGGGCAGCTCCCGAGGGAAGAGTGGAGCCCGTCGGGGAAGGAGGGATTTCACCTTGCGCTCTTGCCCCAGGTTTTCTGGCTGGCGGGCTCCCTGCTCATCATAGGCCTGGCCTCTGTGGTCATCCCCACCATCGGGTGGCGCTGGCTCATCCGCATCGCCTCCATTCCCGGCATCGTCCTCATCTTGGCCTTCAAGGTGAGGGAGCTCCCGGGGCCCCCTCCTCCTGCCCTCCAGCTGGCCCCACACCCGCCTCTTTCCTTTATTTAAGTATCCATCTCAATCAGCCTGTGTGGAAAGGGCATGTGCAAGGCCTGTCCGAGGTGTGAATGTGCAGAATTTGGCCGAG